CTAGAATGCTGCCCCCTCCCCTGCAAGGTTTCTCTTGGCCGGTGTGGCTGATAGAGAGAGAGGGAGGATCGGAGAATGTGTGTGAAGCCAGGGCCCCGGGAAGGGACGTTCTGCTCGGTGTGTTTCCAGCCCGCACCCTGCTGCCGTCCAGTCTTAGCTGTGCAGGCCCCGCCGTCCACGGTGGCTCCTTCACCTCCTTCTCACTTCGCTTTTCAGAGGACAGACAAGTCAGCTGTAACACTGTGTTATCAAAAGCCAGGTGTGGTGGCTGAGGCCTTGTAATTCCAGCACTTGGGAGACTGGGCAGGAGGATTACTGTTAGTTTGAAGTCAGCCTGGGCCACATAGCAAGACCTTGTCTCCAAAAAGGAAAAGAAAAGCTCCCAAAGCATAGTACTGCATCATCCACTTCAAATAACCTTTGCATGTTGTAGCACCCCCAGCCATCACTTCCGATTTTATTAATACAGTGGGTTTAATAAGAACAGCTGCCCCAGGTGATGGGTGAGATGGGCAACTGTAAACAAAACTAGTGATTATTGTGTCTCTTCAAGGTCAGTCCTTTATTTGCACCTGTAATCTTTGCTCAGCATCCCTCTGCCCCAGATGTGGACTCTGATCCACAAAGCCTGTCTCAGAGCCTCCTGGTTGTTCTGTAAGATGAGAAAACACTTGATAATCTGACAGCACCAGTGCATGGGATGGCGCAGTGCACGCTCGTGCTGAGCAGGCGCCATTAACTCCGATGTCCTTCCCTCAGCACCGTGCGTGCGGCCGCTCTCAGCAGTGAGCGGGCAGCTGGGGTGTTTAGAGAGCTTATGCAGAGAAGCAGAGAACCTCGGACAGAAGGCCTCATTCATACACAATAGCGTGTCGTTCCCTTTGAATGAAAAGCTCAGTTTGCAAGAGAAATCTGCTATCAGGTGACCTGAGTACCATTTCCATTGTTACAACATTTATTTACACAGCACAAAAATCCAGATTCCCACAGCCATGGTGAAGTCCATGTGTCAGTGTGAATAGAAAACAAGCCCACTGATTACAGATATGGCCCCTCGGAGGTCCTTGGGAAGCCGCACAAATGGGAAGCAGTAGAACATTAATGCTTCTTTTGTAAGACTTTGTACCAAGCAGCTGACAGCAAGGTAATGGTTAAGGTGTTTGATTAACGAAAGGAGACACTGAGGCTGGAGTGGTGAGATCAGGTCCCCTGCCAAGGGATGCGGAGAGTCAGGAAATGACGTCGAGTTCAGTGCTCTGCCAATGAAAGCCGTTTTCATTCCTTCCCTCAAGAACCGAAAAGACAAGTGGGGAGGGTCGACTGAGTTCACGTGCCACTCAAAGAACACTGATGCTCACAAGAAAGGAGACGCAAGGGCCCGCAGGATCAGGGACAGGAAAATGTGTGTGTGTATGAGAATCCATGTTGGCATCTACGTAGTCAGACTTGGACAGGAAGAGTTGGAAACCTGACCTCTTGTATTTGAGAAGGAAGCCAGCAAAATGACTCAGAAAGAATGATGCAGTCATGATGCCAGGAAGCGAGAGAGCCCATGTGGCCAGAAGATCCCAGAGACAGTGTTGGGGCCGAAGGACTTGGGGTGCTATAGCCAGGACCACGTTTGAAAAACAAAGATTGGAAGGGAGACCTCGGACCGGCAGATTGTGGAGACCTGTGACTCAGGGCCACCTAGCGGGACCCTGAGAGAGTGGCCCTCCAGAGTGGCCCTGTCCAGGGAAAGGGCAGAGGCATGCTGTTCTCCTGAGCGTTGGGACCACAGAAAGGGTTGAGACCACACTGGGTGATGGGTAGTTTTTAAAATATCACCATGCTGCATTTCATTGAGGTACTATTTGTGAAATGAAAACCAGCTGAACCCTTGCTGAGTGGGAACATCCTGACTGTGTGGAAGGTTTGAGGAAGGACCAGGGCTGCAGGACAACCCACGTGTGTCCTGGCCTCAGGCTGACTGGACGAGAGCCAGCCCCAGCCCTGGCCCCTTGTCACTCTCAGCCAATCGCAGGGTCGAAGAGCCGACTTCCGGCAGAGCTGTCATTGACATGTTTCTGTTTCCCTCAGTGCATAGAATTGGTCATGTGCTCCCCATACTCTGAGAGGTCTGGAGAGAGCTCGCATGAAGAGGAAGAAGAGGAGGGATGGGATGACGGTGGGGCGTGGCACTGCAGGAAAGGGAGGTAGCAAGCTAGGACTGTGCATCACAGCTGACAGTGTGGCCCCTCAGGTCTGGCCCAGTCATCGTCCTACACAGACTGAGGTCCGGATGGCTCTGTCCCGTGGCTACAGCTACCCAGGAAGGCGGCCACCCCAGCAAATGTGGCATGCCGATTCAGGTTGTCACATCTGCTGTGTCCAAGTCTTGGGCAGAGCACTGGAAAAATAGGATTGACCAAATTGCCAGTTAAACTTTCCATTGGCAGAGACTGAATTAAGTTTAAAGAAAGGAAATATTTCCGTTTGAGGAGTTTGGTTTTTAATGAAATAAAACATTACTGACGTAAGATCCACAGTCATGTGAAAGTGGTTAATTGAATTCTGTGGTGCCGTTCTGGGCACTTGGTACCAGGTTAAAGCCTTGAGATGTATTTGGGACGTGGGAGTGTCTCCATAGAAGCCTGTCACACCTCTGGGCTACAGGCCTCTTGAGATCTTTCCTCCAGTTCTAGGGGCTCCTGGCCGGAGTCAGAACAAGGGAGACCCCTGCAGACTCAGGCTGTGTGGTTCCAGAAACACTGAAACCAAGAGTTTTGTCTACTGAATTGTGCAGCGAAGGAAAGCTCCAGAGAATGCCAGTCCCAGTGTGAGGCACCCCCTCTTCCTGGGGTGGCTGTCCCTTGTCCCCTGCATCACACTTGCACAGAAGTGTGTTACGTAACATGGAAGGAGACGCGGGTAGAGAACACAGGCAGAAGTAAGCACCATGACGTTGTCACATCAGAGAGAGTTTGTGGCTAGTTCCGATCTGTGGTGCTGCCGAGTGACTTACAATAGCTTTCTGATTTCCTGAGTTTATTGGAGTTTGGAGGTGTGACAGAGGAGGTGCTGGCCTCTGTCCCTTACCCTGTCTGTCTGGAGCACCTCGGGAAAGGGCTACAGTCATATGCCTCCCCTTGCCTCCAGCTCCCCACCCTAGGGCCCAGCTCCTCAGCAGTGGGAGGAGCTAAGCTCCTTAGCTACAGGCAACACCCACTGGAAGGTAGCAATCCCACACCGGGCTCTGACCTCTCCAAGGCAAGGGGTGGCCTGGCCTGAGTGAGGCTGTTTGGCTACAGTGAAGGTCTGCTTCAACACAGCCAAAAGAATGTATAGACAGGCGTTATCACCTCTGGAAATTCTAAGGTCAAAGAATCGGCATCCTACAGGGCTTTGAACAAACAAGTGACTTGAAGTAGTTGTCGCCAAGGAGACTTGGCTAGGCCCAGCTTCCCAAAAGTACATCTAAGAATCACTTGCGAACCCAAAAGTGAGTGTTCCCCACTGAGGGGAACAGCACCCAGGACCTCTGGCCAAGCAACAGGTTCTGACCAGGTGGTCACCTCCGTCCCCAGAATTAAAGATGGCTGCATTGCATATGTGTGGCTTCCATGCTAGTGACAGCCCTGAATTTCATGCTATAGATGACGGCAGATTGTTGTTGCTGTGAACTAACTGTCAGAAGTTAGGGAAGATTCCAGATGACAGGCTCACGGGCCTGGCACAGAGAGAGAAGAACATGATGTGGGGGTGGGGGGAGGTAGCTGAAAGTAGTTGGGAGGGGGTCACACTGTATATTTCCTGTGCTGTCAAGAAGGCCGGCACATGGCAGGCTCTGCTCAGCCTCCCAGATCTTCAGTCTGAGCATCAGCACTAAGGCAGCTCCTGCGGAGGGCCAGGAAGGTCTCCGGTGATAGGTGGCCTGCCTGAGGTCATCCGTAAACAAAGGCCCAGGAGACACCCGGCCTCCCTGTCAAAAGTTCCCAAGCCTCAGTACTATGGGGGTCACCAGGCCAGATGGTGCCCAGCCTTGCTGGCATGAGGGCCAGTCTCAGACACCGTGCTCGGGCATGGTGGGAACTAGAAAGGTCACAAATGGGTCTTGTATGTCCCGCAAATAGAAGACTGCTCGTATTCCATGGGGTATTTGTGTGCGTTTATTCATATAGAGGTTTCTTTTGAATTGTTTGTGTGGGGACATCTGCATGGAAGGGCAGGTGTCTGCAGGGGCCGTGGGTGTCAGACCCTCTGGAGCTGCAATTCCAGACAGCTGTGCGCTGCCCAGGGTGTGTGCTGGGCACTGAGCTCAGGCTCTCTGCAAGAGCTGGGCACCCTCTGAACTACGGAATCATTCCCACCACTCCTGCATGTTTATCTGTTCAACTGAGCTGTAATGTACACCTAACAGATTCTAATTTAAAAATACACTTCCATGAGTGTTGACTAAGAGCCACATCAGTATATACATGCTGCACTGGGGTCACAGGCTGCAGCCCATGGGCCAAGCCCAGCGCCCAGCCTGGTGGTTTTGTTTTAAACCCTTTCAGTGACATAAGGAAAACAAAGCTTGCATTAGCCCACACAGACGAAGATGTTTGCTGCTGCCCCTTTGCGGGAAAAGCATGGGCATTGGACACACCACTTCTGGCAGCTCTCGGCTCCCCCTGACCTTTCCCCGGTGCCCTCTCCCCCCGGCAACTCTGATCTGCTTTCTGTCAGGCAGTCTTGCCTTTCCCAGGGTCTTCTGTAAAGGAGACCATCTAGTGTGTTGCCTTTGGTGTCTGGCTTCTTTCACTGGCAGCGCTTTGAGATTCACTGTCTGGGCTTTTGCGTCTACGAGTGAGTCCTTCATTCCTTTGTTCCGTTCTTTCTGCACCGTGTGAGAGCCGATTAAAGGCATAGTTCCCCTCCGAGAGGGCGGATGGCATCCTTACGCTTTACCCGCGTGCAGCATGGTGGTCAGGCCTGGAGCCCAGGCGTGCCCACTCTCACTGTCCTTGTCTTCGTAGGCATGAACAACCGAGAGGTGCTGGAGCAGGTGGAGAGAGGTTACAGGATGCCCTGCCCTCAGGACTGCCCCATCTCCCTGCACGAGCTCATGATCCACTGCTGGAAGAAGGATCCCGAAGAGCGCCCCACTTTCGAGTACTTGCAGGGCTTCCTGGAGGACTACTTTACCGCCACAGAGCCCCAGTACCAGCCCGGTGAAAACCTGTGAGAGCCTGCTCTTCAGAGACCTCCTCCAGAGGCCTCCCCACCCCTCCCCATTAGCTTCCAATTCCGTAGCCAGCTGCCCCTGAGCAGCGAGAACCGTCCAGGATCAGATTGCATGTGACTCTGAAGCTGACGAACTTCCATGGCCCTCATTAATGACACTTGTCCCCCAGTCCGAACCTCCTCTGTGAAGCATCCGAGACAGAAGCGTGTTATTCCTCAGACTCTGGAAATGCATTGTATCGATGTGATGTCAAAGGCCGACTCTGTTCAGTGTAAATAGTCGCTCCCGTGCCAACACTCCCTAGTGCTTTCCTTTTTTAAAAAAAAAAGAAAATGCAAATCCTATGTGATTTTAACTCTGTCTTCACCTGATTCAACTAAAAAGAAGTATTATTTTCCAAAAGTGGCCTCTTTGTCTAAAACAATAAAATTTTTTTTCATGTTTTAACAAAAACCGATCAGGACAGGTGTTTGTTTTTTTTCTTTTTTATACATATGAATATATATACATATATATATATATAAACATATGTTCCTGTACATACACCATGTGGGTGCTACCATGGAGACTGGCCCTAGAAGGCCACATCGTTACAGGACCCAGAGTGAGGGTTACTGCAGAGACCTGCATCTAAGCACTGGTATCATTCGGAAAGCCGGTGGCCTCATTTTTGACTTCTACAAAGCATGATTTTTCCCCCTTTCGTTTGGATTGCACTTTTTTGGTTCCTAATCATACCTGTAGATTGTTGTTCATGTGACTTTTCAGGTCCCTGAGCTGAGTTCCCACGTTTTAGTAGCAGTTTTTCGCTCCAGCGAGGGAGCGCCCTGAAGCAAGCAGCCAGCCAGTCCTACCATGAGAGCTGGAAGACGGATGGACCGACGGAGACCACACAGACTTCCTGTATAAATATGAATGCTGAAGTGTTTCAAATGTTCTTTTATTTAATAAATCTTGTAACCACATTTAAATGGTCTAAAACCCATATAGCATTGTAGTCACGGCAACCTACTAAACTTTCTCATGCAACTAAAATTATGGGTCAGGCTAGGGTGGGGGGTTGTACATGTCCCATTGTAAAATAAGTGTTTTAATGTCCTGTACTGCTAATGAATGCCTCTCCATGTCAAGAGTACTCCAGTGAATAACTATGCACTACTTTACATTTCATGGGGGTGCACAAAAAAGTATTACAGTTTTAGTTGCTGTTTGTACCAACCTTGAATTACATATGTCTAACAACAACAAATCAATTCCTATTTCTATTGAGTTTTTTAATACTGAATAGCAACTCTGAAGTCTTAATTCCTTTTTTGTTAATGATTTATTTGTGAGTTTACATTTCTAAATTGTTTAACTTTCTTAATTTAGTAATTAAAAAGAGAGCATTTTACATTTGAAACAAAAAAATTGCTTCATTTGTGTATCACAGGGGGTGCCCTAGGCATTCTGTGACATGTCTGTCCCTCACCAGATGGTGAAGAATCACCTGGTGAATTTGGCCGCTGGGCAGTGATTTCCAAATGACAGACACATTCAGAACATCTGGAGACCCTCCCCACCAAAAGGCAAAGCAAATGTCTGGCTAATTCAGAGGATTGTTAGAGCAAAAACGGGACATACCTGAGCGCTGAAGTTTTTTCGACCCTGTCTCTAAAAGGAATTTACTGTGTCTCATTTGTAGAGGATACAATAGTGTTTCTTGACCTTGAGACTTAAATACATTTTATGTCTCAAGTCAGATCCCTCTACCTTTATAATGAAGTTGCCGATCAGGAGACAGTGCGATGTGTGGAAAGGATGGTGGGTGGGCCGGGGAACCGTCCAGGCCTGGATCTCCCATCATTCCCTGCGGAACCTGGAACAGCGGCTGCACCTCACCTACAGGCCCCTCTGGAGAGGAGGTACAGATGCCCGCTAGCTCCTTGCAGCCTTAACTTCTTAAGACACCAAGGTCACTGGTGTCATATGGAGCCACATAAGGAAAAGAAAAGGGTTTTATTGTTACTGAAATAACACAACCTTTAAAAAAGGCTTTTTAGCATTTGGGGGGAAATGTAAAATATTTTAAAATCAAAACTTTATTATTTTGGATCTGAATACCCTTGACAGGATTTCAAAGACTCACTAGGTACAATTTTTATCACATTGGACTACTCATTAACAGGTTCTAGATTTTTTTTTAAGATAACTATTTTCAATCCTTATTTCATGTTAGGTAACTTGCAAATATTCTCTGGAGGATTTTTGTTTTGACTTAACTGAAAAATCTGAAAAAGAAACCATTTTAAGCAGAAACTGAGGGGAAAAAACATTTACTTTTTTTATTTCATCGAGTGAGTTCATTGGGGATTCTTGGATATAAAGGAAAATTAAGGACATAGGTCAACTCAAGGGCACACTTACGAGATCAGAACTCTGGGGCATTCCAGAATGTGTATGTAGCCTTCCAGAGTAGAAAAAATGCAATCAGGAAGAAATCAGAAAAGGGTCCAGGTTTCCCCAAGTGTCCAATGTGCTTTTGAGAGCTAGTCCTCTAGGGAGTCCTGATTTTCCCAAGGTCACCTCTAGGGAGTCTTGATTGTCCCAAGGTCACTTCTAGGGAGTCACAAGTGATAGAAGTTGGGGTCAGGGGACAGAAGGTGCCCACCAGAAAGTTCTGTTATTACAAAAGAAAAATATCACTTTACTGTGAAGGTTGTGGAAAAAAAAACTTTGGGGGGGGGCAGTTCTTGATGGTTATTGTTTTTCTTTAGTAACCCAGAATAAGGATGTAAGAACTTGCTCTCTAGGAGAACACCAACTGGCATTGCTCAGCTGCATAGATGCCTTCCCAATAAATGATTTTCACTTCCAAAATATCAAATACAAAGTCCATTGTCATAGCTCAGGAGTAAATGTTGATCAAAGGGTTCCTCCTCACGCCCGTGACTCTGCACCACAAACTCAGGCTGCAGCATCGAGGTGCCCGACAGGACCCTGGGAGATGCTGGGTCCCACGAGTCAGAGCCTCGGTGGACTTTCGAGGCCCAGCCATGGTGGGAACAGGTGTTTCCAGGGGAAAAGGCAAGGGTGACCATGAACCCTTAAAACCTCCACATAACTCAAGACTTCCAGGTGGCTGGGGGTATTTACTCATCAGGAGACAGGTAGGAATCCTCCTGTGGCTACATGTCAGCGGTGAAGGGTTTTTCCAGTAGCACCAGAGCCACAATACTGTTATCTGCAATTTCCCAGGGGGCTGGAACAGCACCTGCCGTATTAATCGGAATGGTTCTTTCACGGGAAGGTAAGGTTCTCGGCAGCATGCCGAGGAGGATAGTACCATAGCTCCTGCAGTAGAGGCAAGGTTCTCTTATCGTTGGCCATGACACAGAGCAGGACAACGCACAGGGCAGGCATTTCCTGACAAGCTATATTTGAGGAAAATGGTGTTTGGTCAATTTGTTCTGAAAGATATTTTAATAGATTCAGATGGCTTTTGTTGGCTTGCTTTCCACTGTATGTTACACTGTGAGATTCAGTTAGGCTAATGTCAAAAATCTCTCTTCTGGAGGGAAGACAAGAGGGAGGAAGGAGATTGGCTTTGATCCTGGAGGGGGAAAAACAGCTCAAGCAGCATCAGTATCTGTGTTTAATTTTTTGTTGTTGTTAAATTCTCAAATGTAGATTCTAACTCCATAAAACATGACGAAAGATAATGTCTGTGGTGTCTTTTAAATAGCAAATGAACCTTCATAATATGTGTTTGTATCAATATTCAGAGAAGTTTCATAACAACCATCCAAACCATTCCTCATCTTTACCCAATAATGCAAAATACTCAGAATCCCATGGGGAAGACGTGGGGACCAATATGTCCTTATTTTAAATTAGAAGTGGGAGCATATAGCTAGGTGGTAGAGCACTTGCCTTGCAAGCCTGAGGCCCTGCGTTCATTCTCTAACACCACACACACACACACACACACACACACACACACACACACACACACAGATCTAGAGGTTGAAATACAAATAAGTGGTTTGTGATTTTGTAGGAACGGCCCTGTGAGAATGCAGTGCTTGATGAATGAATGACTGCCCTCCCAACTGTCAGAACAGTGTGCCCCTCTCCGAAGCACTCAGAATGCATGTCAGCTTGTGCTTCATGCCACCAGTGTGCTTAGCAGGGCTGCTCTTCTTCCAGTGGCTTTTCCAGGGCAGGCTGCACACTCGTCAAGACCGGAAACTGTGCGGTATTTTGATTTTACTCTTCCTGAACAATGATGGGCCTCTGGCAGATGTGGGGCTGAGGCACGGGTGGATGGTTAGGTGGATCGGACCCACCAGTCAGTGGGCTGAGGTTTTGCCGTTCTTATCTGAGAGCCTGCTGAGGACGAGGGAGCTGTGGCATGCTGCGTCAGCACCTGCCCAGCCCATTGGAATGTGTGGTCATTGGTCTTCAAGATAACCATGAAGGCTCCACCTGCAGCCTGAACCAGACGCAATCGGTGATCCCACACCTTCCCCAAGGTCTTGCCCCAACACCCATGGGTAGAAACTCAGACTTCTTAAAGCGTGCTAGCTGACTGCACAGAGTAAAATGTCACCAAGTGAGGTGGAGTCTACAGTGTACTCAAGGGGGGCCCTACTGGAATTTGATAATCTTATGAAAACTTGATATTCCATTTCCTAAGATAACCATCTTCGTTTTCACATGGCAGTGTTTCTCCAAACCATCCCGGGGTGCCGTGTCCCCAGCCCGTGGCTTGCAGGATCGCTGTTGCAGCTCTTATGACCAGACTGCTTCTGGCCTGTGTGAGAAACACTGTACGCAGTGGTGGCTTGCTTTTGTGTGGAGACTGAACATGGGAAAGGTATCAATCATTCCCCGCCCCCACCCCATGAGGCTTTGCTGACTCCCTTCTCACTCAGCCAAGAGCAGCCTCATGACTGAATGGGAGAAAAGGCAAGAGAGAGAGTCCAATGACGGAAAGAAGAGGCCACCCAGAGCCTCCTGGAGGTAGAGATCAGAGAGGCCTCCTTGGCCAGGATGTTGGGAGTAGGAACAGGAGGGATGGAGACCCGGGCAAAGGAGAAGAGGCCTAAGCTGGGAAGAGGCCTCCTGGGTCGTCGCTCTTTGGAGAAATGGGGCCAGGATGATGGTGAGTACACATGAGGACTGTTATCGTGCCTCGCTTCAGCGTGTGGTGTGTGCTCATTATGAGCTTGACTGTGTACACCAAAGACACACAATGAACCTTCACAGCCCAATGGAGGCGGAGGCCCAAAGGACGAGCTGCAGCTCGTCTGTAGATGGGAAGCCCAGGACTCAGTGGAAGAGATGTGTCAGCTCTGCTGGGGATCTGCCGGAGGAGCTGCCAGCGCTCAGTGGAGGTGGCTTAGGTAGGGACACTTCCTGCCTTTCAAGGTGACACCTGACTCCCATGCTTTTTGTTTGTTTGTTTGTTTGTTT